CTCCAAACCTCAGAAGCATACTCTAAGTTACTCCTTACCAGTGCGCAGTACAGTAATTTCATTGTAGGTAATAAGCACTTTTCCCTCAAAACTGTACGTCTAATAAAGCCCAGCATCTTGTTCGCTTTATTTATCTGAATATATATATATATATGTTCATTAAATGTAGCATTACTAGTTATATGGACTCCAAGATCTCTCTGTTCGTTTACTCTCTTGATAACGCAATTAGCTATTTCATAAATAAAAGAAACAGGGTTGCGTTTCGTTGTTACTGTAGAGATGGTACACTTGTCAATGTTAAATGGTAATTTCCATTCTGCACTCCAAGTAGTTAAATTATTCAAGTCCCTTTGTAAAGCCACGCAATCGGCGTCTGAATTGATTGTACGTAGACACTTCGCATCATCAGCAAACAATGCGAGCGTTCCTGATTCTGAAATAACATCAGGCATGTCATTAATGAACAGAACAGAAAGAGCTGGCCCCAAAATAGAGCCTTGTGGAACCCCACTGGTGACATCAAGCCATTCGGAACATTTGCCGTCAAGTACTACTCGCTGCTTCCTGTCATGCAGGTAACTTCCAAACCATTTAAGCAAAGAGCCTCTGATGCCCGCCGCGTATAGCTTATCCATCATTGACAAATGAGACACAGAGTCAAAAGCCTTTGAAAAATCAAGGAATGCAATATTCGTTTGTCCCTTTTCATCAATTGATTTTGTTAAAAGGTGAACAATTTCAAGTAGTTGGGTAACCGTAGAGCGGCCTTTCATAAATCCGTGTTGAAGATGGTATACACGACTGGCTATGAATGGGAAAAACTTATCAAATACACAACGTTCCACTACTTTTTCCACTACACTTAGCAAAGAGATATAAGGTCTATAATTTGTCACGTTTTCAACATCACCCTTTTTGAAAACTGGCACAACATTTGCCCATTTCCATTCCTTTGGTAACATTCCTATTCGAAGGGAAAGATTTATTATTTGTGTAAGTGAAGGGGCAATCTCATTTGCACATTCTTTTAAAATCCGTCCAGGAATTTGATCAGGCCCACTAGCTTTTGAAGGATTAATGGCCTTCAAAACAGACAAGATATCTTCAACAGTAACATGTAAATTATGCAATTTGTCAACGCGAGGATGAAACACATCATGATTTATCTCTGCTCCATGGTCAGATTTTTGAAAAACGGACGCAAAAAATTTGTTGAACATGTCCGCTTTAGCAGAAGGCGTTGAGGCTTTCTCCCCACATGATGAACAATTTTTGGTATCCTGGCTGTTTTTGTTGTGGCTCTGTAAAATGACCAAAACTTACTAGGATTATCCTTTAACTCATCCTGCATAGTTGCGAGATGTTCACGATATTTCTTTTTAGTCAACGTTTTTAGCTGTTTACGAATAGTTTTGTAATTATCCCAATCACTTGTTAAGTTAGATTTTTTAGCTTTTTTCCACATTCTGTTCTTACACTTAGAGAGATTGATAACATCTCCATCTATCTATTTTGGTGCCTTTGCATTTCTAACCTTACATTTTGGGATAAACATTTCAGCGGTAGTAAGAAATACATCTTTCCATTTTTCCCAACTTTGGTCGATATCATCACAGTCGAGTAGCATTTCAAATGGTGTGTGCGCAAGAGTTTCTCTTAACCCATCGAAATCAGCCTTTTTAAAATTATACACAGAACGTGAAAATTTTGTTCGCTTCACAGTTGTCTTAAGGAAAAATGAAATTCCAAGATGATCGGTATTCAGTTGACAATCGAATGTTGAAAGACCGTAAAGCTGATCCGGCAGATTTGTAAAAACTAAATCCAAAATGTTGCTTGTTGAGTCAGAAACCCTTGTCGGAGAATAATTCATCTGACTCAAAAAAGCATCGTTTATCATGTCGCAGAAAATATTGGGTAAGTTGTCACACCCAGGTGCTACTTGCAGTTCCCAATCAATTTCAGGAAAATTAAAATCGCCACATAATATAACAGGAGTACCGTCTCTCACAATATTCTCGAGGGAATTACCAAAATTCATTAAATATTCATTTTTGCTCGAGGGAGGTCTATAGAAACCGCATATAATTAGCTTCATACCTTTGGAAATATGTATTTCACACACCACAATTTCACAATTCGATTCTAGCTCTTTGCGTCGTTTAGATTCAATCTCATTTTTTATTGCAATTAATACCCCTCCGCCTCTTTTGCCATCTTGTCTGTCACAGCGATATATATCATAGCCATTCGGTAATATTTCTTTATTTAGCACCGAGGGAGTCAGCCAGGACTCGCTCACAACAACAACATCACAATCGCTCGTGTACACCATTGACTGAAAGTCGCGAAGTTTGTTGTTTAGACTTCGAGCATTGATTGTTAAGACCAATAAAGTGTGCCGACCTTTACCCGAACGTCTGGGATTGGATACTGGTCCTGGATGTGGATGAATATCGCCACTTAATTCAAGAACCAATATAGGCCTACATGGGTTGAACGAAGCAGAACTGTGCGAGTAATACCTTATTCGTCGTCGAAGGAACTTTCTACCATAAATCTTTGCCGTAAATAAGCCCTTATAACCACTATGAACTCCGTCCATGTAAGGAGTATCATATAAAATCTCCGAGGTGTATACACAAAACATAAGAGGGAGAAAGTATAACATAAATACGGAGCACAAAAGTCTACGTGTGTCCGCCATTGTCATGCCATTTCGATACCTTATTTATTTAAATTGTTGACACTCAATACAATTAAATTGTTATTCCATCTGTCAAAAACGTCCTACTTGAGATAACATCAAAAATCGAATACAAAATATAACAAAGCTTTACTGTTTTCAGGCAGTTGTTTTGGCAATACGTTTAAATTAAATAACAGAATACAAAAAATTTGTACCCAAGTCTCAAAATTCGGTGGCGTGATGAGTTTAAGTTGTATTTTTCACTTTACCTGATTTGGCGCCTTTTTCGCTAACGTGCATTTTTCTGATCATCTCATGAACTTCCTTGGTCCGTCCATCAATGTCACTTATCTTGTCTTCCAGAACTTCATAAAACTTATCTAAGGCCTGCAACTCCTGAATTCGACATTCATTTAACTTATTCACCCTCTCAGTTGGAAAATCATCCTCTGTCAGACCACCAATGGCATCAACGCAAGCCGTGCTAAGATTAACAGCTGTTAATGCATCTTTTGCTACCCGTACATATTGATCAAAATCAGCCTTGAGAATTTCCGGTCTTGGAGAGTGACAAAGTTTATTTCTCAGCAATCGCAGCTGATCAATTGCTAAGGCGTAAGTTTCGTCTTGATTTCCCGTGGGACTAATCACTGATGCATGAAAAGTTCCCGAAGCAGGTTTCTTTTTCTTCAAATACAAATCATTCAGTGTCGACGGAGATCCTTTGCTCCCACCAAATGTTTTCGCATAGACTGTAGCTTTAAAAAGTGCAGTGCAGTCCCATTCATCAATGGAGTTGTTAGTCGGTATATCAGTTTTCCCTCCTTCACAGGCCAGAAGCATATTACGTACCAGTGGGGAGTCATCCCAAACTTGACAACCTGGCTTTGTAGCGATCTTAGTGTCCCACATTGTGATAAAAATCTGACGCAAAGCCTTCGGGGATTCATCGAGAACAAGGTATGAAAACTTGAAAAAGTTCAACTGCTCTTTAGTAAATGGTTTGACTGCCATTGTCCAAAACCAACTGATTAATATTCACTGTTCTTCACATTGCCCTGTTTGGTAGAAAGTAAAAAACATCAAAATTTTGTCAAAAATAGGTACGTACGCTAAGGGTGCATGTACCTGCGCATAATGTTGACTGTTGTTGTTGTTGTTCACAATTGGCGAGTTTAACAGGGTATTATTTTTGGGTGGTGCGGGGTAAATGTTCAGTCAGTATGGCTATTGACTGATTTGAGATGAAATATTTCAAATCCTCGTTAGTGTTTTAGACGTGGTTTCTAAATACAAGTGCCAGGAACAAGGCGCAGCCGAGCCATTGTTCATGGCACTGGGGATTTGGAAGCCAAGTTTAAAACACTAACCAGGATTTGAAATTGCTTCTCACATATCTTTACATATTATAGCAATGAGGCATGAAATTATTACATATTCAAAAAAGTGAGAGTAGGACATTAACGATTACCTTCGCTTGAAAGTTTGTATGAAGTGTGACGAAGCACTCAGTTCGCTTTCGTTGTGAATAGATTAATTTTGCCGGCAAAAGAGCATGGCAACTTCTTATAAGAAAAAGCGGTTTCGAGAGTCGGAAAGTGTTGAGGACAGTATTGAAAATGTAAAGAAAGCTACTCAACGTAGTACCATGTACAATAATCGGTAGGCCGTTCGCATTTTTGAAGAGTGGCAAAGCGAGTGTCTTTGTAGTGTGTATTTGCGTTATAAAGTATTTTATTTATTTTCGTTGCCATCATATTTATACAGTAATTGATTGGGAAACCACAACAGCTACAGTATTGCCAATTACAGCGGCCCCCAAAAATACAGGTTAAATTCAGGGGCGGATCTAGGAATTTTCGTACGTTAGTCAAATTTTTCCGAGTTGCTACCATCCGGGGGGGGGGGGCTTTTACTTTCTGTCTGCGGGGGTTGTAGCATTATAAGTTATTCGTTGTTCGCCCGACAGCCGACGCGATTGTATTGTCACGATATTGTAGTGTCGCGCGATTGTCTGGAATTTTGTTTTACACATCGGCATGTTCTTTTAATAAATAAATTTGTGCGGACCCTCCAATGATTTTCATGAGGGGCGTCACACAAATTACATTCTAAAAACTAAATATAAATTAAATATGAAATAGAATAACATAGAATAACAAATACATAGATAAAAAAATTAAAAAACCAAGACTATTCGATGCCTGACTCTGTAGCACACATTATTTTATCAAATTTTTGAAGCTACTTAAAGATTCCGTTTGCTTTGCCTGCGTAGGTAAACCATTCCATAGAACAGCCCCGCTATATCCAAAACTCTTTTTTAAATATTCAGTACGTGGTTTAGGAACTGAAAGATTTATATCAGCATTTCTGAGATTATAATTAGTACTAAGATTTATGTCCCTTGTTATAAATTTATCCTTTAAGTTCGGAGCTGAGTGGTTGTTTAATATTTTAAACATCAAGACCGATTTATTCATTTTATGTCTGTCGTTCAGATTTTTCCATGACATACCTCTAGCATGGAGCAAATCTGTCGACCTGACATCATAATTGGCACCTGTCATAATTCTTGCCGCCCTATTTTGTAGTTTTTGTAATTTCTCTCTGAGCATGCTTCCACAGTTATCCCATAAAGATGAACAATAGTCAAAATATGGGAGAACGAGAGAATTATACAAATTTTGTAGTGTTTCGGACGTTACAAACGGCTTTACTGTTTTGATAATTCCAATACCGGAGCCAACTTTCCTACATATTGTGTCTAAATGGTTTTCCCAGCTCATTCTTTCATCTAGTTCTACTCCCAGACATGGAAAAGAGGAATATCGAGTAACCGGTTTATCATTTATCATAACCTGTTCATTGCCAACTTTGTTTTTTAAGTTATAGGATGATCCTATAAACATTGCTTTTGTCTTTTTTTGTGTGAAGTTGCAATTTATTTCGAGAGAGCCATTTGACTATATTTTCTAAATCCTGATTAAGTTTAAGTAATGAATCAGAAAGTTCCAGAATACACTGGTTGTTGCTATTGTATAGTGGGAGGTTTTTTAGTGAGAGATTTTGCGAAATTAGAATAGTTCGTAGCGTCGAATAAAAGCTAAAAGAAACTATTGTGTTGAGGATTATCTCGGGGGCAATTCTCAACAAGATTTCACAGGAACAATCACAAAATTCGCTTACTTCTAGATATCGTATTACAACACAGCATAACACCCAACCATGCAATCTCAAAATTTCCAGATTCGGTCGCTACTAATACATCAATTAAATATTGCCCGATACTTTATAGCTTTAACTATGTGTATGGTTATACACAGTTAATTTAAGCAGCCAAACCGCTTTTATGTCTTATTACCGCCGTCAATATAAGCACACGTTAAGCAGGTTTTAAAGCTTACTTAGTACCAGACTGTGAACTAAAATATAAATATATATAATCTCCTAACCTTATCAGTTATCGCTGTACATTTCTATTATGGTGGACGAGCACCGAATTGAAATCTCTAGCGAGACTGGTTCTGGTGATATAGTTGTGGATAGACTTGGTATGAATAGCGGCTAAAAGCTCTTCGATATATCGTCATATCGATCTTGTATTGAAGTATTGATATGCTTTAAAAGATCTGTGTTCACCATTTCTAGACAGGACAGACTCGTATAAACTTTATATTGCGGGAACCACTGAGTATTTTTACACATACATTTTATATTGTCGTCGTACTCGTACGTCAATTTAATCTTCGCGGTGAATAAACTTTCCGAATGAGTCAGACGAGGCAAAAAATATGAGCCAATGAGAGAAGAGAATTTGGTCTTTTCGACCAATCAGAACTTCAAATATTGTGCAAATAAAGCAGACCCCCACGAAGATGAGGCAAAAAAGTTGAACCAATGAGAGAGGAGAATTCTCCTTCAATCAGCCAATCAGATACCTCATAGATGACGTAAATAAGGCAGACCACCACGAAGATGAGGCAAAACCATTCTCGACCAATCAAATGGCTAGAATCTGCCTCAAGTAAGTCAAGGCCACTGAACTTACAACCGCTGAATGATTTGCCATACATTTGCCATCACTGCAGGAAGGATTACAACTGGAGTACTGGACAATTTTATGAATCAATAATTATCTGCGAAAGTCGCGCAGACTTGCGCAGACTATGTTAGTCGCGCGACTTATTTGACAACCCCTAGATCCGCCCCTGAGGTTAAATTGTGACACTATCGCGAGTAGTGATATTTGAGGTAAGCCATGTGTTCGTGAATTTTGTGTTATTATTATTATTATTAAGTCTTTATTAAACATAGCCACAACAGACGTGTGACTTTACATTTAAAATTCTCATATACAAAGTTCCAAAAAAATAAACTTAATTATTATTATGTATCTAAGTTAATTATTCTTAGGTAGAATTATTAAAAAGACTAAGACTAAGTTATTATTATGTATCTAAGTTAATTATTTTAGCTAAAATTGTTAAAAAGACACCTATTTAAAAACGACCGTTTGAATCTTTCTGTTTTAACCTTAGGTAATATGAAATCGTGTTCGCGTTCTCTTAACGGTCTTTGTCGTTTTAGGAAGAAGTAGTTCGTATAAAGGATGGTCTGGGTTACTACATATTTTTTCAAATAAACTCATGTCTCTTTCTTTAATCACATCAATTATCTGAACACTTTTTGTTGTGTATCCATATCTGTATGCTCGCCTAAGAAATTTATCAATCCGTTCCAGGTACTTCTTTTCAAGTGCAGAACCCCATACTTCGATTCCATAAGAAAATAAAGATATAATAAGTGCGTCGAAGAGAATTGTTAATTTTTTTTTAGAGTAGCCATACGATCTGCATATTCTCAAAATGTGCATTCGACTGCTAGCTTTAGATATCAAATTATTAACTTGAAGGTCCCAACAATTTGGATCATTCTGCAGTGTAGTTCCCAATAGTTTCAGCCAAGTCTTGCGTTCGATACCCGTTATTGGTTCTGGTAAAGGATTTGTTGATTTGCCACTTACAACCATTTCCCATATTTTATCTAGATTTAATGACATTCTGTTTGTTTCCGTCCATTTTTCAATATTGTCTACCTCAGCTACTGCGGAGTCATAATTATTTTTCACTGGAGCGCTAACAGTCATATCATCTGCAAATTTGACTAGTATGTTGTTATTTGGATCTTTGACTGTTAGATCATTTATCATTAAGGAAAATAGAAATGGTCCAAGAACTGTGCCTTGCGGTACTCCTTTGTTTATGTCTACATAATTTGTTTCTATTCCGTTTACTATTACTCTTTGTCTCTTATCAGTCAAAAAATTTCTAATCCAATTTATTACATATGGATTAATGTTGGTTTTTCCTAGCTTCTTGCAAATGATGTTGTGAGAAACGGAATCAAAGGCTTTCTTGAGATCGAATGAAATCACCCTGACATGATCAACATCACCATCCAGCCAATTTAGCAAT